TATCCTCCGCCCATCCCTATGCCCCCCGCGCCGACACGGCCGCCGTATCCTCTGCCCATCCATATGCCCCCATGCTGATGTATCCTGCCATATCCTCCCCACAATGGTGTGCCTGCCCTATGCCCCCCATCCTGGAGCCCCGTCCCCAGCCCCCATGCAGAAACTGCTTCAGTAACACTCCCTGCTTGTATTGTGTCCCCCAGCCAAGTGCCAGCATCCTGCAGTGAGGAGAGTGGTACCCCTATTCCAGAGTTCAAGACACCCAGTGCCCGCTCTCACTGCTAGGCCCCCCAGTCCTCTCCTCCGCCTCTCCCTCCCCGCGGCAGGCAAGTCGCTTGCGCCACACCCCTACCTGGTGTCATACTGGTTGGTGCCCACGTCGAACTTGAAAGTGGGCGGGAAGTTGAGGAGTCCCTCCTGGAAGCCACTCAGGATGGGCCAGGTGCCCTTGGCGATGTTCAGCTGGGGGAGGGGATCAAGGGGAATGGACAGCCATTGGCAGTGCAATTCACAGAGGCCTCCCTTCCAGCCCCTGCAGCCCCCCGCCCCCAGCTCCTGACCCCATCCAAGGACGGGAACACGGCTGCTGACCCTGGGGAGGGGCTTGGAGTCAGGGGGTGGCTGGAGTGGGGCTCTGGGCTGAGTGGATGGGGATCGGGGAGCCCATGACCCTGGTGATTCCCCTCCCCCCTTCATCCTCTTTTGGGGGCAGCCCCGGAGACTGAGCTGAGCCTGCCATTAACACCTGCCCTGGGGAGCCCCAGTGGCTGTTCCCCGGAGCGCAGGGGAGGACAGGCTGCAGACTCAGGGTTGGGGAGCTCAGCCAACACCTGTTCCTGCCCTTGGAGCCCCAGCTGAGAGCACGGATGCAGGCGGCAAGATCCGGATCGTCATGCAAATATGTCCCCACAGCTCCCGGCAACACAGGCCAGGCTGGGAGGACTTTGCCCCAAGCACCAGCCTCTAGGTGTGCCAGGCGGCTCCCGTGTTCTCTGCCCAGCCTTAGTGCAGCTCCGTGCATGCCCAGAGCCCAGCGATTACAGTCTCGCATCAACCTCAGAGCCCATCAGTACAGAGATGCGTCTCCCCCCGCCTGGCCCCCACACTCCCCTGGGGCTCCCTGCCCAGCCCCCCCGCCCAGCCCCCCCGCTCCCCCAGGGGCCCCCGCCCAGCCCCCCCGCTCCCCCAGGCCCCTGCCCCCTCTCTCCCCCAGGGCCCCCCGCCCGGCCCCCTGTCTCCCCCAGGCTCTGAGTCATGCTGGGCTTGTGCATCGACAAGAGAGATTGTGCACTGGGAACGCAGGGAGCAATTCGGTTGGCGATGCACAAGCCAGGCTGGGCCCCAGCTCCCCCGCACCCAACTGGCCCTGCAGGGCGAACGGGACGGGATTAAAGTAGCTCTGACCCACACCCCAGGGAGCGGACGGAGAGGGAGGAACGAGGCACTTTGCACATCGCTTTCCTGAGCAGCCCCAGAACCCAACCCTCTTCCGAACCCCGGCCCCCCTCCCGGCCCCCTTCAATCTCTCCCTAAGGGGGATTCAGCGCTTGGACTTTACCTTGTACATGGAGCAAGAACACAGGGTGGCCGCATCGCTGCAGGGCAGCAGGCAGGGGAGCAGCCCTGCCCCCCTCCAGGGGGCTCTGCGGCGGGGTCACGGAGGCAGCTGGTGCTGCAGGGAACCTGCCCCCAGGCCCAGGGGCACGCCTGCCCTTCATGCCCCACGGGCTCTGGGCTGGCCGCAGCCGGGTTAGGAGGAAGCAGCACTGGTAGCCTCTTGCCCTCCCCCTCCCCAAAGGAGCTGCGGGCCCCAGCTGGGGATTTTCCTTCCCCAGGGGAGCAGCTCTCCCCGCCCCCCGGCTGGGGGCAGATGGGATTGGATTTTCATATCTGCCCTAGGGAGGCGCTGGCTCCTTGGCCCCATGTCGCCCTCAGCGCCTAGTACGTGGGGCTGCAGGAAAGCAGGAGAGTATCTGCCGGCCCCCGTTCAGCACCGCCGAGCGTTAACTCAGAGCCGAGCCCGCACAGGAAGGAAGGGATGCACCTGCCCGGCCGGCCGCTCACCTGGTCCTTCTCCCACAGCTGGCTCAGGATGCTGTTGTCGATGGCGTACTTCACAAAGCGGATGTCCAGGCTCTCGATGCGGAAGTTGAGGTCCCCAAACCAGAAGACGATGCTGGGGAGAGCGAGGGCGAGAGCAGGGCCAGGGTGAAGAGGGGACTCCGTGCTCCCCACACAGCATCCCTAGGGGTGGGCCAGCTGCGGCCCACGGAGACGGGACCCGACTCCCTCCAGAGCTTGCAGTGAGTGACAGCCGAGGAGAGCGCTAGGAGTCCTGGCTCCCGGGCCTGGGATCCAGCCACTGGGCTGCGCTGCCTCTGAGAACCGACGCCCGGGGAAGTGTCCTGGGTAAGGCAGTGGGGAGGGAAAGTCCCTGCCTGACACCAGCTCCCATAGCCCTGTCCAAGGAGGCCGGGGGCCCCCCCTGCAGCACCCAGAGTGATGGGGCACGATTCCCAGCGGGTCGGGTCAGAGACACAGCGTCACGGGATCTTGGGGAAGTTTAACGCAGGTGCGGGGTGGGGAAAGCTTCGGTCTAGCAGCCAGGGCTCCGGCAGCCCTGCCAGGGCTTCCCCTCGCCCCCCCAACCAGCTCCAGGGTGACAGGTGGGGTGACAGGCAGTCCTGGAGCTGCCCTCTGAGCCCCAATGCGACCCGGCCTCCAGCCTGCTCCCAGGCAGGCAGGAGCCAGGAGCTCTTATCCTGCTAGCGTCTGAGACCTCCCCAGCCCTGGCACAGCCTGGGGAGCTGGAGCAGGGCAGTGGGCTGGCAGGGTGGGGTCTGGGCTGTGTCTCAACTTGGGCTTCTGGGCGGGGCAGGGGCCTGGACACATGTGGGGCCTGGATGCACAGAGCGCTGGTGGGTAGGGGCCTGGATGCACAGGGGGGCACCCAGGCAGGCAGGGCCGAGCAGGAGCCGGGACGCGTGGCTCTGGCACAGGGAGGCCTGGGGACAGGAGTCAATCTCACCCAGCCGCGCAGGCGCTCTCAGCAGCCCAGCCGTGCGGGCGAGGGAATGTAGGTCAGTGCTTTGCCGATAACGCGCTGGCCGGCTGCCAGCCCTGCTGCTCCGCTGCTGGAGCGGCTCAGGTGCGGGGCCCAGCAGCCCTGGGGATAATTAGCTGAAACCTTCTACTCAGATCAGCAGACTTTCCATGGATCAAATGGGAGAGCGCGAACCCGGGGTGGAAATTTCCACTGCCAGGTGCCGGCTGGTGGGGCCGTCCCGGGGCCTGCAGCCCTGCTAGCACCAAGCACTAGAGCTGGGTGGGGAGCGGGCAGAGCAAACCACAACCTGACAGGCCTGGAGCCAGGGCCGGTGCAAGGAAGTTTCCCGCCCTAGGCGACCCCCCCCCCCGCAGGCCCCCCCCCCGCCCACGGAAGCTAACCCAGCCCAGGGAGCCCCGCCCCCTCCGCGGCAGCTAACCCCACCTGGGGAGCCTGCCCAGGCTCACCTCTGCTCCGCCTCCTCCGCTGAGCATGCAGGCGCCGCTCTAATTCTCCTCCCCTCGCAGGCTTGCGGCGCCGATTGGAGGAGAATTAGAATGGGGGCTGTGTGCTCAGTGGAGGAGGCAGAGTGGAGGTGATCTGGGGCGGGGAGCGGTTCCCTGTGCCCCCTCCCCCCCATTACTGCGGGTGGCCCTCCCCGCCCCAGCTCACCTCCACTCCACCTCCTCGCCTGAGCAGGCTTTTAGGCGCCCCCAACCACTAGGCGCCCTAGGCTGCTGCCTAGTTTGCCTAAATGGTTGCACCGGCCCTGCCTGGAGCAGACTCCCTGCCCCCCCAGCTAGCCTGGAGGAAGCCACCTGCCAGGGCAGGAGAACGGCCCAGTGCCCAGCACACCCAGAGGGGGCTGCTGCAAAGCAATCCCGGCTGGGCTTGGGACTGAAGGGCCAAGGGAGGCGCAGGACCCAGAACCATGTGGGGACCACACAGCACTCCCCAGATGAGGTGCTGGCTTGCGATTCCCAGAGCAGAGCCCTCGCTAGGAACCCTGCTGGACCCATCTGAGCTCCTGGGGGCGGGACACAGCCCGTTTCAGAGGGGTAGAGCCGCAGACTCAGCTCCAAGCCCCAATCAGAGCCGGGGGGATGGGACAGGAAGTGGAAGGAGCAGGGTGGGGGGGGTACATACTCGTGGTCCAGGATGCCGTTGGCTGCGCGCCCCTCGAACTGCTGCATGTTGAGGATGGTGGTGAAATCCTCCTTGCGCTGCTCGGCCTTCTCCAGGTGAGCCGGCAGGTGGCAGTTCAGGAAACAGACCATGTGGCCGAAGACGGAGAGCCTCACGCTGACCCCGCCCTTGTTGCCCTGCTCCAAGAGGAACCCAAGCTGTGTCATCGGGGGAGGGGAGCCCCCCCAGAGTCACGTCCCCCCACCCCTGCCGCGGCACCCTCCTCACCCAGTAGCCGCCCAGCCCGGTCCTGGTGCAGTCCGTCTGGATGTCCTGCAGGAAAGGGAGGTGATAGTACTTGGCAAACACCAGCAGGATCACACCCTGCATCCGCACCGTGCTCACCTGCGACAGGGAGAGAAGGGCGTGAAGCGGGGCAGCTAGCCGAGGGCTTTGCCCCTGCATGGCAGGGGACGTGGGGCTGAGGTGCAGGGCTGCGCCAGCACCTGAGCTAGAATCCCGGCTCTGCCCAGGTGCCCTTCGGCCAGTCCCTGCCCCTGCCTGCCTCAGTCTCCCCATCTGCGAGACAGGGCTGATGGCACTGACCCACCTTCCCAGGGGCAGGGCTGGCAGGACTGGTCAGCGCTGGCACAGCGCTGAGGGGTGTTTATGCGCCAGCCAGAGCAGATGGCAGCCACCCCGAGCATGCAGACCCCACAGGCTACAGGTCCGTGCAACTTGCTGTGACGGGGAGCACCCACCCTGTCCTGTATTTGGTACCTGGCCGGCGCCCGGCTCCACAGCGTCCATTCCCAGGCAATCGCTGTGCAGCCAGGCTGATGCCAGCATGCGACTGCCCCAGGAACGGACCCTGCAGAGCAGTCTCTTGGCAACAGGCGCTACCCCAGAGTGCCCAGCGGGGCTTAGCTCCCTGGATGGGGGTGGGCCCTTAGGACTTCGGATAGGCCAGAGCACGGCCGGCTGGTCAAAGCCAAGGGCTCCACACGCCCTGTGCTGGGGGCTGTGCTGGCCCCACAAGGAACGGGGGCCGTGGGCCAGCGAGGGACCAGCATAACGGGGAGATATGCTGCGCTGGCCAGGCAGGCATGATGGTGAACACTGTGAGCCGCAGGGCCATGGGACGGGACAGGGCAGCTCCATGGGCTCCGGGCCATGGGGTAGATCCACTGGAGATGGGGTGGGCTCAGGCCCCCATGGCAGAGCAGCCTCCACCCTTGTGCTGCTGGGGAAGACCTGCCCTCCACTCCTGGGCCCAGGTAGAGTTACACCCCCAGCCCTCAGGCAGGGAGGAGCCAGAGACAGCCCTGCCCCCCCATCAGAAGAGTTTAACTGTGCTTGTGACCTCCCAGTCTCAAGTTGCCATGGAGACAGCTGTGAGGACACGCACAAAGGGGGCCGGGGGGGCGGGAGTGTGAAGATCACAGGTAGAAGCCCATGGACGGTGCCTGGCCCCAGATACCACTGTCATGAGCTTTGTACCCCACTCCTGACTCCCCACCGGCTCCCCTCTACTCTTTGACCTCATCCCTTTAATTCAAAGAAGTACCCCAAACGGCACTGAGGGGACACCCATGGAACAAGAAGCGCCTCATGTCCCAGATTCTCAGTACCTTGCAAAGGTGGGCCAGGGTGTCACTTCTCCGTGGTGCAATGAGGGAAACTGAGGCAGAGAGCAGGGAAGGGCCTTGCCCAGAGTGACCCAATGAACTGGTGGCAGGGCCTTGCTATCCCTGTGCATTGTCTAGGGGTTAGAGCAGTCTCCTTCAAATCCCGCCCCCCAGGGAGACCCTGATATCCAGGATGGGGAACTGTCAGCTTGCCAGGCTTGGGGGGAAAGGCGTAGGGAGGCCCTGGCTGCCTGTACTCCTGGGTGGGGTCCCCAGTTTGATTTAATCAGCTTCCTGCCCAAACCAAGCAGACCTTCGAGCCCAACCCCCCCCTACCAATACAAAGTTGAAGGGACTCAGCACGTCCATGAAGAGCTCACTCCACTGGTCTGTGAAGAGGGCGTCCTTCAGGCGCTTGTTGATCATGGAGTTCACCTCCTGCAGCCTGGAAGGGAGACAGACAGGTCTGATGGCAGACTTGGGCAGACTCCCCAGCAGCCCTCCAGCCAGCGGGCACTACTCCCTGCCAGGAGACTGCCTGGATCCCAGCTAGGGCAGCTCCCTCAGACAGGGGCAGAGGCCCAGTGCTGGAGGGAGCAGGGAGATGGAAATCCCCCCGGGAGAGTCCCTGCCGCTGGCAGTGGAGGGGGCGTCTGCGCTGTGCCCAACAGGCAGCTAAGGGCGAGTCAAACACTACCGCCAGCAGGGTGGGGCTTAACCGCCAGGCTGGGGTCTTGGCGACCCCGCAGGGGTGCTGTGCCCGTAGTCACACAAAGCTACATGCAGCAGACGACAGAGGCTGTTGCCTCCCACAGTAACGAACGCTGCCCTTGGAGACGTCCCAAGAGTCTGTGCGATTCCCAACGTATTGCCAGCCGGACACTAACCCGAGGGCATGGCTCTGCTTTGGGGGAGCCTGTCCAAGGAGACCAGGGAGCCCTAACACCCAGCCTTGAGCTCCATCCTCCTGCCAGGGACTAAGAGCCTCAGACGGGCTGCGGCCCCGACATGCTGCGCGCCTGGGAACCCCGGCCTCATTTCCCACAAGGGAAGAATCAGGCTAACGACGACTTTTCAAAGACTCATCCTGACACAGACATCCAGTCACAGCTGGTGTGACGGTGCCGCTCTGAAATGGGCGAGAGGCTCAGGGGTGACTGACAGACGTTATAAAGAAATATCGGCCTCAGCTGCTTATAAGTCCGTCAGTAGAAGAGGCTATAGATGCTCATAAGCAACCAATTGACCTGCTGGTCTCCAACGATAAATTAAACATTTATTAAAACATCGGTCGTTGACAAGCTCCACACAAAGTGCAGGAGACCAAGTGTTCTCCAACGAGGTGCTAGGAACAACCTTCCAGGAGACCAGAGTCCAAGCGTCTTCAGGAAATGCCACAAAACCTTCCTCTTTGGAAAAGCCTTTCTGCTAGGAGACTGGGGCAACTCTGTCTCCCCTGCACCCCAACACTGGCACCCCTAATCCTCCCAACGAATCCCACAGGGGAACTCCTACAGTGAATGCTATCGGCCAGGGTGGTTCACCATTGGGACAGACTGCCAAGGGCAGCGCTGAATTCTCCATCTCTCAATGTCTTCCAATCCAGGCTGGCTGATGCCCTTCTGGAAGATGCTTTAGTCAATCACAATTTGGGGCTCAGGACAGGGGTAACTGGTGACACTCAATGGCCTGTGGTATACAGGAGGTCAGAGTAGATGATCTAATGGCCCCGTCTGGCCTTAAATGCTATGAAAAAAAATCTGAAACAGAAAGTCAAAACCAAGAATCGTCCCAGAGTTTTGACCCCGGAAAAGGGAGAAATGCCAGAGACTCCATGAACTCCATTAGTGGCTGGGCTATTGCTATTGATTTCATGTAGAAGGCACCCAGATGCTATGGTGACGGGCAGCAGGAAAAAAACCTAAAACAGGTTAACCCTTTATAAAGGGCCCCTTCCTACCAAGTAGGACTGACAGCACAGTCCATCCGCGAAGTGGCACACTCGCCTCTCTGATCCCTGGGAGGGGTCTCCAGAGATACTTAGCCAATGATGTCTAGTCCATGGCATGGTCCTGGCTATTCCACTGCCACTGCCACGCCAGACTTTAACTGGCCACAACGCCAGCATCCCCCATCAAGAGGAAGCACCAGCCTCCCTTTGGGTCGGGCCGAGGCGATTACACAGGCTGCACTGGCAAAGGGGAGTGAGGAAGGCTGGGACTGGCAAGAAGAGCCAAGGAGAGTCAGGCACCCAAATCCCACGGATGTTCAAGGAGATTTGGGCGCTCTGCTTTGGCTGCAGGGATCTGAGACGGGAAGAGACAAGCAGTGCGTGGAGAGATGCAGGACAGTGGGTGCTCTCGGAAGGTGCAAGTCCATCCTGTGCCGAGAGCCTGGGAAAGGCCTCGGGGTCACGTATGGCCGCTTATGGGGTAGGCCTCTCGCAGGCTCTCAGCCCAGGCCTGAACTGCACCCTAAGGGAATTCGGTGCCTTCAATAGATGCAAGAAGCATGTGCAATGCCACTTGGTGCACATCGTATGCAGCTGCTGCGTTACTAAACAGTCTGGGGCTTGGGGGGCCCAGCCACCTCCAAGCCACTGTAGTTCTGCCCAGGTTTGCACCAGCAGTGGCTTTGCATGATTAACAGCCTGCCCCAGCTCGGCCCGGGCAGCTGTTAACCAAAGCAAATGGTGGGAGACGCTGCCTCATAGACATGTGGGGCTGGAAGGGACCTCGGGAGGTCAGTTACTCCAGCCCCTGTGCTGCGGCAGGACCAAGTCAACCTAGACCAGCCCTGACAGGCGTTTGTCCAACCTGTTCTTAAACCTCCAGTGACGGGGATTTCACACCCTCCCTAGGGAACCTGCTGGTTGAAGACGTCTCATCAAAAAGCAGACAGGGATTAAAAAAGTGCCAGGGCACAGGTAAGTGGGCCAGAGGTGTCACAGCACCCAGAGAGCCCTAGGAATGGACAGTGATCACAGACGGGCACGGGGGATTGAACCTCCCAGGGCGTGTGTGACCCCCAGCCTGGATGGGGTAGTCCAGCAGGAGAGAGACCAAGCCCACAAGCAGCCTCATTTGGCCTGGAAGGTCTCTGGGAGGGGGCCGGTCTCTGAACAATGGAGCCCTGATCTCAGTTCGGGGGGTTCCTAGGTGCTAACGTAAGCCACTACAATAGTACCCAAAGGGCCTGTCTTTTTCTTGCACTTTGGCAACGCTCGTCCGGCTTGTCGTGCCAACAAAGTCTCCATGTGTTGTATTGGGAGCTGCCTGGTTGATAGCTAAGAACTGTATTAAATGTTACCAGGGGCTGGCTCCAATCCAGCTTGAACAGAATAATGGATTCATGCCCTTGAGGGCTGCTTACTACGGCCAAGGGCTGATTGCAGAGGGAGAAGCTCCTGAGAGACTTTGGAGGGGATGCTGAACTGTCCACGGCCCAATCCTGAGAGGTGCAGGGGCATTTGTATGGGTTGGGCACACAGGGATGGGGGAGCAAGGAGGGCTGGAGGGTGGATTTCAGGGGGTTAAAGAGTGTTTGGGTGACTTTTACTGTTAGATTTTTATTGTGTTTTATTCTGAATCATCTTCCTTGCAGGAACAGCACGCACACTTGGGGAGCTGGGACCAGAACCTGGATCTGTCTGCTTCTAAAGAGGCCCCATTGCTTGGGCTAGTGGACAATTCTTTTCGGTGCCCTGCTAGCCTCTCTGGGGCCCACCTACTGCAGGACAGCCTCCTTCAACCCCCACAGTGGGGCAAGGAGGAGCTCTCGGCCCAGGCACCGCTTACCCAATGGCAATCATGTCGGTGTCGTTTGTGTCGCCCGTGTTGAGGTGCAGCAGGGATGTCACATCGCTCGGGGGTATGGCTGTGCCAACGTTCCACGTGACCACGGTGATCCTTGGAAAGATAAAGGGAGCCACGCTCAGGTTTTGGGACAAGGGTGCCCGGCCCCACTCCCTCCTCCACAGTCCTCTTGCCCCTCTGCCTCGGAGCTGCTGCCCTG